CTTCTGGAGGTGACCTGTTCCCCTCCAGGTCTCGATGCCAATCCCCTCAAAATCCCCCCCAAAAAATCCACCTAAAGCTGGGGGAGATGAATTTTTAATGCTCAAGGGGTGGGAGAGGAGACTTCTATTTCTCTTGGTTTTTTGGGGTTTTGGTGGGTTTTTTTTGGCCCCAGGAGAAACTCTCCACCCCCCCTCCCCCTTGGTTCAAAGTTTCAGCTGCCTCTTGTTGGACGGCACCTCCTGGGGGTGGCTTTTTAGGGGAGAAACCTGGTGGGTTTGGGTTTTTTGGGGTTTTTTTGCCTTCTCCCCACCCCTGAAGTTCTCGACCTTGGCATCTCCTCAGCGTGCCCCTCACCAGGAGGTTCTTCTGCACCAACTCCTCCAGCCTCCTCTCCAGGTGGGGGGAGATCTCCACCGGAGGGTTGAACTTCATGGTCTCGCAACTGCCAAGAGAGCAGAAGACACGAGGTGCCCGGGGAGGGGTGGAAAACCCCCAAAATATATCACACGGCCCGTGCGAGACGTTCGATTCCTCCTTTTGTCCTCATTCAAGAACCCAGGAGAAGGTCTTCAGGGGATGGGCTGAAGATACTTCTCCAGGAGCAACCAAAATCCCTCCCTTCCCCAAGACGGGTCGCTGGATGGATGGTTTTCTGAAAGCCCCACCTCAGGTTTCACCCAGGTGGCCCCCAAAACCTCTCCGAGCCACCGGGGTTGAGGGGAAAGTCACCCAGAAGATGGAGCCACCTTACCTGGCCAAGAGTCTTCGGATGTCCTAAAGGTGGGAAGAGAGAAGAGAAGAGGGTTGGGGAAGGGGAAGGGCCAGCGTTGGGTCTTCTAGGGCAGGTTGGACGGGGCTTGGAGCAACCTGGTCTGGTGGGAGGTGTCCCTGCCCACGGCCAGGGGTTGGAACGAGATCATCTTTAAGGTTCCTTCCAACCCAAACCACAAGGTCCTTCCATCCCAAACCACGAGGTCCCTTCCGTCCCAAACCACGAGGTCCCTCCCGACCCCAACCAGAAGGTCCTTCCGACCCAAACCAGAAGGTCCCTTCCCACCCAAACCAGGAGGTCCCTTCCCACCCAAACCAGGAGGTCCCTTCCCACCCAAACCAGAAGGTCCCATCCGACCCAAACCAGAAGGTCCCATCCGACCCAAACCACGAGGTCCTTCCGACCCAAACCAGAAGGTCCCTTCCAACCCAAACCAGGAGGTCCCTTCCATCCCAAACCAGAAGGTCCCTTCCCACCCAAACCAGAAGGTCCCTTCCATCCCAAACCAGAAGGTCCCTTCCCACCCAAACCACGAGGTCCTTCCCACCCAAACCAGAAGGCCCCTTCCCACCCAAACCACGAGGTCCTTCCATCCCAAACCAGAAGGTCCCTTCCATCCCAAACCAGAAGGTCCCTTCCCACCCAAACCAGAAGGTCCCTTCCGACCCAAACCACGAGGTCCTTCCAACCCAAACCACGAGGTCCTTCCATCCCAAACCACAAGGTCCTTCCATCCCAAACCAGAAGGTCCCTTCCATCCCAAACCAGAAGGTCCCTCCATCCACCCAAACCAGGAGGTCCCTTCCATCCCAAACCAGAAGGTCCCTTCCCACCCAAACCACGAGGTCCTTCCCACCCAAACCAGAAGGCCCCTTCCCACCCAAACCACGAGGTCCTTCCATCCCAAACCACAAGGTCCTTCCATCCCAAACCAGAAGGTCCCTTCCATCCCAAACCAGAAGGTCCCTCCATCCCAAACCAGAAGGTCCCTTCCCACCCAAACCATTCTAGGATTCAAAGAGAAGTGATTTATTTTCATGAAATTGGAGCATCACAGAAGGACCCTACGCATGGGGTGATGCCACCTGCAGCCATCGTAGAAGACACCGGGGACCTCCCCTCCTTGGTGGGGGTTGAATTTGGGCTCTTCCAGGGGTGGGGCTTTGCTCTTGTGGGCTCTCACCTGCAGGAATTGGCCGGCCGGTTGCTGGAACTTCCCTTCCATCTCCCAGATGAAGGTCTCGAGGTGGGACATCTCCTCCGAGACCTTGGCCACCGCTTCCTCCTGGAGCCTGGTGATGGCCCTGTCCAGATCCGCCAGCTGGGTCAGGAGGAGGCGCTCTTGGTCCTTCAAAAACTGGTGCAACTGCTGGAACTCGCACACGATCTTCTTCCCTTCGCTTTTGGTTTTCTCCTGCCGGGATCAGAGACCACGACGGCGATGAGAGAGGAGATCCCCCAACTCCCCCATCCTTGGCCAGCAGAAGACACGCCGCGGCCACCTCTACCACTCCAGCGCCCGAAACACCGGCAAAAACTTTATTTTTGGACATCCTTCTGGTTTTCTATTCCTGCCTCGGCCCCCCGGGGCGCAGGGACCTTCGCAAGAGCAAAGGTGAAGGCCCTCAAGGTGGGCAGGAGATGATGGGGGCTACAGAGAAAAAAAACATCTCAACACACTCAAGGAAACTTTGAGGGGGG